GTAGTAGTAGTGGTAGTAGTAGTAGCCCCAGTACCATCACCACTACCATCAGCATCGGTAATGGTACTAGTAGTAGTAGTAAGTGATAGTAGTAATAGTAACAGTAATAGTAGTAGTAGTAGTAGCAGTAGCAGTAGCAGTAGCGGTCGCACCAAACCAGTCATAATTTTCGTAATGGGGACAACAGCAACTAACGCTGATCGTAAGGAAAACGAGTCGAGTCGAGTTGAGTCGAGTGGGACGCCGACCGGCACAATAGTTTTGGTACGGAAATCAGAGCAAAAGAAGACCAAACAGGGTTGGGGATACAAACGCACAAAAGGATGGGAGAAGAGGTATGGTATGGATGGAAGGATGGATGGATGGAAAGAAGGATGGATAGATGGATGGATGGATGGATGGATGGATGGAAGAAAGATGCCTATGCCTACACCTTTTGCCTTTGCTTTGCACTAGAATGAATGATTGCTGAATGGTATTATCGAATGTTAAAAACGAGAGGTGTGTAAATAACGGGACATAGGCCTTTTAGAGGCCAAATGAATACCGTACACATCAGTACTATCATCAAACATCACCTAGTACAATTGACCATTACATCATTATCATCACAATCTTCATTCCTGCACTGCACAACAAAAAGTTCAAAAGATCATTCATCCCATTTGTGAAAAAAAAAGATAGAAACAATAGAAGCTGAGGAATATCGTTCACAAAGAGACAAAGAACATTCTGGAAGAGGTGACGCAGTTCAAGTAATATAATGAATATTAAAAATATATGCAGAAAAGAGAATACATTATATATATATATATATTGGATAACCACATTTACTGGTAACCTACTAAATGTATATACTTCATTGTATGAAGCACATTTCGATCCGGAATTCTGATAATGTATATAAAAAATCAGTGGAAGTAGAAAGATGCGTAGGTGGCAGAAGGAATGCAATGAGTCAACTAATCGAAGGTCAAACTGCTAAATTCAATTGAAAAGTGATAATTTCCTCTTTTCCAATGCATCATAAAGGTATGAGATCATCATATGCGAGATACGTGTGAATGTACTTGCAAACCTTGACTTACGTCCACTGATATACTCGAGATTTGCATTTGCCTATGATCTTATCTTCTTTATCACCTTCCGTATTCACTTTCTTAACATCACATCTATACATTCCGGTACAGGATGTCATTTTTTTGTAATTGAAAGAACACTTACCCCAATCGTACACAATCCACTCAACCCTCTCATGTTTACTGTCGTGTCATCTTCTCTTTCTCTAAGTCGATGAGATGAAAATTTTGATGGGACTATCTTACGAATGTCGATGACATCCCTATTATACATGTATATGTATATATACACGTATACGTATAGATATACACACGTCATCTTACCATACATCCACTCACGCATGAAATATATACGTACGCATAATAATATACAGCCTAAATATAAATCCACATATGAACGCGCACAAATAAACTTGTAAATGACACACATATACACATAGGAAACATACATATCCATACACTTGTGCAATGTATACGTGCATTTTCATTTGTTGTGCATACACAGCCACATATACAAGCATGCATATCACGTATGAACACACGTATGTATATGGAATGACAGTAAGAAGATTAATATGATAGGATGGTAAAACTGAAGGGAAAAGCAGCCTAAAATCGTATATGCTAAGTGTCACTGATGCAAAAAAACGCCGCACTCACCGCTTGCCAGTTACCATCGCCCTAAACTGTTGCCAATGCCTCTTAGCCCAAGGTGGTCCTACACCATCCCACCCTGCAAAATGGGGGAAGGCGAGAAACTGTGTATGTGTGTGTATGTGTATGTGGGTGGGTGTGGGTGTATGTGTGTGTATGTGAATGTATGTGAATGTTTGTGTATGTGCATCATTTGGCCTTCTTGTCAGCATAGATAAACAGGCAGACGGACACACATACACACACATACACACACACACATACACACACACACATACACGAATATATAAAAGCCAAAGGAGGAAGCATAACAGCCTATCCGGTACAGTTTAGTTGCACATACCGACGATAAAACAGATACAAGAAGAAAATACATCACGTTAAGCATACATGCACAATAGGCAGACAAACACAGACTAAACATATAGAACAGAGTCGAGCGACAATGTTTGGCCTAGTTCGAATCGTATTGATTGAGGCCACAGATCAATCGGACCAATCTGTGCTTCATTTCTGCACACACCGGTCAATTATGCCTCTTCTATGAATGTATGTGTGTATGTGTCTGTGTGTGTGTATATGTATGTATGTGTATGTATGTATATGTATGTATGTATGTGTATGTATGTATGTGTATGTATGTATGT